ATAGGAAATTAGTTCTGACCTCCATTGACAAATTCTCAAAGTACGTTAAAGTGAAAATACTAGACGGAAGATCTACTGAGGCTATTAGAAGACCACTGAGGGAATTATTATTCTCTTACGGAGTTCCGAAGAATGTGGTAATGGACAACGAACCGTCTTTAAATTCCAGTTCGATATTATTCATGATGAAGGACGAATTAGGAATAAATATTTTTACGACCCCATCCTACAGGAGCGAGGCTAACGGACAGATAGAACGCTTTCATTCTACCCTCGCTGAGATAATGAGATGTTTGAAAGGTGATGGAACATCCAGGAATTTTGAGGAATTACTGGAGAGGGCTGTTAATGAATACAATCATTCGATTCACTCCACGGTGAATAGAAGACCTGTTGATTTGTATTTTGGACGCACAATTGACTTTTCTCCACAAGACATAGAGACTACCAGACGGAATATTGTTGACAAACTCAGACAGAAACAGGCCAACGACTTGACGTATCATAACAAAAAGAAACGACCAGTTAAGGATTATATTCCCGGACAATTAATTTATGTAAGCAACAACAAAAGGTTAGGAACGAAACTAAGCGACCGTTACAAAGAGGAAATAGTTAAGGAAAACCGGAATACCACCGTTTTGACCGAAAGCGGAAGGGTTATTCACAAAAGCCATATTAGAAATTAATAAAATCCTAAATTCTACAGATTGTTTCCTGGAAACGCCCTGGCTGACTTCAGCATCCTCGACTACTCGAACGCAAGACCCATTTCAATTCATAATGGAATAGCAAGGAAACAGAACGGGACATTTAAAGTAATTCATTCAATAGATCTTGAACAGTATGAAAACCTCACTCGTGAAACCGAACACATTCTGGACAAATTCGTGAACCTAGACCATCCTCTCCGTCCATTTATGAAGCAACAATTAATTGACATCAATGGACTATTAGACCGTCTGATGCCGCACAGAGAGAAAAGATCGATAGACTTCATAGGAAGTGCTTGGAAGTGGATTGCAGGCAGTCCAGATAGTCATGATTTTCAGATCCTAGAACAGAAAATTGGCAATATTTTGGAAAATAACAATAGACAGCTGATAATAAACCAATTAATTTCGGAAAGAATAACCGAAATAACTAATAAGACGAATGAAATGATAAAAAGGGAAGGGTGGAACGATGAAGTAGTATTCAAAATCGAAAGAAAACTTAATTTTATTGAAAAAGAGTTACAAAACGTAGAGTTTGCAATACAGTGGGCTAAAGCTAATATCGTCAATTCATTTCTGCTTTCTAAAATCGAAATCGATCAAATAAACACTGTTTTTGAAAAATATAATATTCCTACTTATTCGATAGATGAACTATTAACTTTTGGATCCGTAAAAATTGTTACAAATAAACGAGAAATTTTGTACATCCTTAGTATCCCTGTAACTCAAGAAGAAGTTTGTAAAGTATATTTCATAAAACCTATAAAAACTGGAGATGTAATTGATAAAATTGAATACGAAAAAATTTTGGAATGTAATAAAGAATTATTTGGAATAAAAACAGAATGTAAAAGTAATTACGACATAACAATTTGTAATAGAGATAAGCTTATTTCATTAAGAAATGATAATTGTATAACTAATTTGTTCAAAAGTAGAGTAGGGAAATGCACCCAAATAAACAACGAACACATACCAACAATTGAAGAGATCGGATCGGACTTGCTCTTGCTGAACCAATATCAAGGCGCTATCAGTGTAGACAACGAGCAGATTTTTTTAAACGGGACTTATCTCATCAAACATTTCAACGTCACTATAAGAATCGATGGCCACAGTTACAGTTCAAGAGGAATAAGTGCCAATAAACCTCTTCCCGCCTTTTTGCAACCAAAAGGTCCAAAAGACAAATTAGAAGAAGTAATATCATTGGAGCTGCTTAAACAGTTGAACGTAAAGAACATCGAACGAATACGATCTATGGAAACCAAAGGTACCTTAGCAGTCGGCATCGGTTGTGTTTCTGCAATAATCCTTACAACTATAACAATAATATCACTGAGAAGAAAATATGCAAAAAACTCCGAAAATAATAATCTGAAAATCGAAGATGCCCCAGGAGATGAAATAGAGATTGCGGAAGTAAATTTACCTACAACTTCGAAAGAAACTAAAACATCCAGCATTTACAATATTCATTCATTTTGAACAATCGGGACGATTGTATTTAAGAGGGGAGGAGTTAACACCAGACATATTCAAATTCAACATTAGCAACCCAAAGAATTCATCAACCAAAGTATAAGCGTGTCATTTTGCTGACACTGCAGTTCCCACCGAAACACTGACAACAACATCCAACAGGCAGACAGCAACATTCCATCGCCAACACGAGCAGGTGTCCAGTATCATCTGGGTGCATGAATCCAAAGTATAAGTTAGGGTAGTTTTATTTCATTATTCACTTTGTAGTCCGGAACCTTAACCAGTAAAGACGTGATTGCTTGCAGTAAGCAGCAATCACAAATTTTTAAAAAAATAAATAAATTAACATTGAATTAATTTATATATTCTTGATCAGCGTAAAATTCTAAGACGATTTAGCCCTGTCCGTCTGTTGTAATCACGCTACAGTCAAACGAATTATGATAGGCAGGTCAAGTTCGAAGATGGGCTATATCGGTCCACGATATCGTATAGCCCCCACATAACGGTACTCCCGATATTCGGTATTTTGATGATTTCAGCCACATTTTTCAATGGAATTGTCTGAAATTCCACACAAGGAGTCCCTTGTGAGCACTTTACCCCCAGAAAGAGAATTATCTATATAGGTTCACAATATCGTATAGCCCCCATGTAACGGTACCCCCGATATTCGGTACCCCCTATATTCGTTATTTTGATCGTTATTTTAGCCACCTTTTCCAATGAAATTGTCTGAAATTCCACATAAGCTGTCCGTTGTGAGTACTTTACCTATATATATCCCCCATAAAACGGTACCCCCCGATATTCGGTATTTTGATGATTGCAGCCACATTTTTCAATGGATTTATCTGAAAATCCACACAAGGAGTTCCTTTATCCCTTAAAAGATAATTATCTATATAGGTCCACGATATCATAAGGCCCCCATATAACGGTATCCCCTATATAGGTCCACAATATCGTATATCACCCATATATCGGCACCTTCTTATATTAGATATTTTAAATATTTTAACTGAATTTTTAATGGATTTTATTTTTTTGAAAATTATCTAATTCATTCCAAATGGTGAAGGGTATTGAAAGTTCGGCCTGGCCGAACTTACTGCTTTTTTACTTGTTTTTCCTCTCCTCTTTTTACACAAAAATTACAGCCAGCTTTTATGTTACCCGGAGGTGTGGAGATATTTCTGTTCACTGAATGAATGTTCACAGCTTGAAGAGAATCGGTTATACATATCGTATTTAATGAGAGTTCTTACTATTCAAAATTGCAACCCTTTGTGGAGGAGTGGGACATTTTTCGCATTTGACCTAAATTTGATATGTATATTACGATGTCCGAAGTTTCAAGGCGGATACAATTTTTAATTGTTGTGAGGGTGGTATCAGTTGGATGGGTCCAAAATGATCCACTTTCAGCCATATGGCTGCTGTTATAATATTGAATCCTAACATACAGGGTGAGATAAAAAAAATTCAGCCAACTTCAGACTGCTGTCATTTACAAGCCACTAGTCCGACAGCTGTTAAAATTATTCCAGTGACTGCTCATTATATTGTTTACAAGCGTACAAAAGCATTTTGGTGAGAATTTTCCAGAAAAAAGTTATTCGTGATGGAATTCAAGCGTGATAGTTTGACTTCTTTACATTTGGCTGGAAAACCACAAGTGGCTATCGTTAGAGCACTCCAGTATTTAAATGTGAACAAATCTCTTGTGTGTCTCTCTTGGACATTCCAACAGGACTCAGCACGCGCCACCGAAGAGTGGTTACAGAATGAGGTTCTTCGCTTCATTTCCAGCGCACAATCGCCACCAAAATCTCCGGATACCAATCCGTTGGACTATTGTCTCTGGAATATTTTGGAAAGCAAGGTTAGCACCAAAAAATACCAAAGTGTCGATCACTTCAAGCAAGCGCTTCGCCGGGTATGGGTCAAAATACCGCAGAGGAGCATTCGGGCAGAATATGACGGTTTCATTGGCCGTTTGAAGGCCATAATTCGTGCCAAAGGTGAACAATTCGAACAAATCTAAACTTATTCCAAAATTTGATGATATTTCCGACATTTTTTGCTTTCATTAAATAAAATTTCAAAAAATATGTAAAAATTATGGCGTTTGACTTTGTTGCAGTTTTTTTTAACTCACACTGTGTTTTGGGAGGATTTAGCACATAAATCGAGTCAATGCCCTTAATCAGAATATAAGCATATAATCTAAACGGGCTTTTAGATAAACAGTTTAAAATACCTTTGACATTTCCGATAGTTAACATATTCGGTACAATTTATCAATTTATTTCACATTTTATGTATGGGTAAATAGTACATGGCCCTCAAGTTTTTGTTGCTTTCTGTTTACGGTAAATTACTCACTTATTGATTGATTTCTATTTTTACAAAAACCAAAAAACTTTCAAAATAAATATCATCCTCCTTTCTTCTGTCAACGGCCTTGTATTATTGATTGTTGTTTTTCATTAAAATACTTGTGGAAATAATGCAAACTTATCCAAGGTTTAAGTGCCCATGTCATGGATGTCCTTCAATATTCTAACCCATGAACGCACACAAACATTTTCACATTTTTAATCATACCTTTTTATTTCAACAATTCATCAATTCATTCATATTTGCTTTTGCGTGAAGAACTTCATATATCCTTAAAGGCTTTTAGACGACCTAAACTAACATTTACATCCTTTAATTTTTGCCCCCTCTCACTTTTCCCATTTTTGTTTGTTTACTTCTTCTTCTTGCTCATCTTTTTCGTCCTTCTTGCAGGTAATAACGGCTTCGGATTCAGCACCAAAAGCACTCAGGGATTTACGTAATCGTTGCCTTAATCCTGGTAAATACGCACAACACCTCGAACGTTGGCTCTCCTATTATCCTGCCCAGCAGCTACATATCATCGATGGCGAACAATTGCGTCTCAATCCCGTGGATGTGATGAACGATTTGCAGCGTTTTTTGAAAATCCAACCGGCTCTCGATTATTCCAATCATTTGCGCTACGACGTGAAGAAGGGTTTCTTCTGTCAGGTGGTCAGCGAGAAGCGTAATAAATGCTTGGGCAAATCAAAGGGACGTCAATATCCACTCATGGATGAACGTAGCGCTAAATTGTTGCAACGGTAAGTGAACGATGTAAGGTGTTAAAAGTGGAAATGTGAAGAGAGTGTAGCTATCTTTTACTTGTCAGAAACGAAGGTGTTTCACTGAACAGTGTTTGAAGTGCGTAGAAAGGTTTTCGTTATGGTGGCAAGAAAACCTCAGCAAAATTCAAATATATTGAAATCAATGCAATTTGTTAACAATCTTAAAAAGGAGATTAGTCTTCGCCATTTCCCAGCTATATTCTCCAAATAATTACCATTTTTTTCGAGAAATTACTTCTTACGAAGTAACCCAAAATTTGTTGAAAAATCCATTTAAGTTCGTAATCGTTATTATTAAAATGTATCTGGGGTTTTTTAAGTTGACTCATGTCAATTCTAATTAATTATTATTACGTTGTTATACTTTCTGAAATAGTTAAAAAAATGAAATCATCGATTTTGTTAAAATCATGGTGACATGATCCATTTTTGGACGTTTTGGTGGGCATTATTAAAGAATAAACCAATAAGGAAAGATAAAACTCTAAACACTATGCATTTTTGGTAAAGTCACTTGTAGCAAATACACGTTTATATTGGCAATTTAGGTGTTAATTGCGTGTTAAGGCTTTATAGCGGTTTTTATTTGAAATAGGTTAAAACCAACCTATAAAAACTATATTTTAATCGATTTCTAAACTAAGGTAAATTTATGTTGCATGTGACCTCTCGAACCAAATATCGTTTCTATGTAGTACATATTATGACTTTCAGAATAATTAAATATAGAATCGAATGGAGCTATTTTATTTGATCAAAAGTAGCATCCTTGATATTTTTTTTACATGAAATTAGAGGGAAATATATATGGGAGACATATCCAAATCTGAACCGAGCTTGACAAGACTTGGAAAGTTATTTTTAGGATGTACCCAATATCATATACCGGAAATCCTTGAATCCTTGAGTCTATCTAAATTTTGTAGTCTCTGGCAAAATTCATCCCATTTCGGCTGTTACACATTTGACATTTGAGCAATGTACTTGAAATCGAACAAAGATATATATGGGAGCTATATTAGAATCTGTACCTATAGCTATAAAATTCAGCAGAGGTATTTCTGAGCTGTATCTGATATCTGGTACCAAATATGATTTTTCTGGAGTGCATATTACGAATGTTGGGGACTTAAACACCGAGTCGGCCGAAACATATATATATATATATATATATATATATATATATATATATATATATATATATATATATATATATATATATATATATATATATATATATATATATATATATATATATATATATATATATATATATATCTGAACCGATTTTCACCAAATTTTATATACTTGCTTTTTGGCTGAATTATGCCAAAATTCATTTTATTTGGGCTGGAGTTAACCATTTTTGGTGCACAATAAACATGAAATCGGAATGAGATATATATGGGAGCTATACCCAAATCTGATCCGATCACGATACAATTTGGCAAAGGTATATCTGACCTGTATTTGATATCTGGTACCAAATAACACTGTTGCGGAGTGCATATAGCGAATGCCGGGGACTTAAGCCCAGAATCGGATGAAACATATTATTGAAGCTATAGCTATATCTGAACCGAATTTCACCAAATTTCAAATGCTTGCTTCGGACCTAATTTCGATCGGATGCGCCGAAATCCAATCCATTTGGACGAATATTACACATATGGCACATAATAAAATTGGATTCGGACAAAAATATATATGGCAGCTATATCTAAATCGGAACCGACCACCAAAAAACGGCCAAAACGTGCCTAGTCGAAATAGCGGTTTTAGACCCTAGGTCTCTTTGGACCAAATCCGTTTCAGGACATTTGGTGTCAATTTACCTATGTCCCTCCGTTTGTTTTTCTGGCTTGTGAGCACGATAACTCTCGAAGGGAGTATCCGATTTGATCCAAACCTGGCACATCGTAATATTATTGTCAAACTTAAATCGAGTTCGGATATTGTAATATCGGTCCACTCCTTCTGGTACCACAAAGTACCACAGAGGGTCGAATTGTTCAATAAAAATAATTTACGGCACAGAATGAGAAAGGATAATCCGATTTTGCTCCAACTTTGCAAATCCTAACATTTGTATCAGTGCTAGGTGGGGTGCAAAAATGGACAATATCGGTCAACTCCATCAAGTACCTCCCCCACAATAGATCAACATTTTAAATAATTATAACTTTTGTAAAATGTTAAAAAAGCCTCCGATTGTCTTCAAATTACACACCTCACAATATTTTTATTAACCCAAGGTCTGGTGTGAAGATATATCGGTCCACTTCTTCTGGTACCTTCTCCACAGGGGTTACAATTTTAAATATCCATGAAGGGTCAAAATTTTAAATATCCATGATGCCTATAAAACGCGAAATTAACATCCGATTCAATTCAGACTTGGCACATCTCCATATTTCTATGAACACAAGGTGTGTAAAAAGATGGTAGAGATCGGACCATTCCCACACAAGGGGCAAAGTTTTGAATAACCAAAACTATCATAAAATTCTAAACAAGCATCCGCTTCTCTTCATATTGTCGTAAAATGATGCACACATTTTTATAGAAGTAAAACGAGTACCTGAAAAAGTCCAAACTTTGTAATATTTATATCAGACCTAGACCAGCAGCGAATAGGGAAAATATTGGTCCACTACTTTTTGTATTTCTCCAGATAAGGTCAAAATTTTATATCATAGTAACTTTCGTATAATGTGAAATCAGATTCCAACTTCTCTTATAGATAACTTTAGATCTCGCATGAATGTGTGGCATGCCGTTCCCATGGCCTGATACCTTTCCCTCAGAGGGTCAAATTAAATGATTTTTTTATAAAATGCAAGATTATTCTGCCAGTTCTCTTCAAAGCTATCACATTACAATATGCTTACTAACATTAGATCTAGGGCTATACATAAAAAAATTGTCGAATTCTGAAGTTATATATCAGTCTGAACCTCATCTTAAACTTTCTAATTTGCTAATAACCATTTAGTTAATTATCGCGAATTGCAAAATCTAGTCTGACTCTGAAACAGATGTGAGGCCTGCAACTTTAATGTCCACAAAACTGTTTTTGGCCGTATAACCTGAATATAGCAACAAGTGGGTCCTAGTCGAATAATAGTATTATGATTTGCAATGTTTAGACCAAGTCGATGACCACAGTTAACACATACGAGATTCAAGATTATAAAAACTCTATCACAGTATGCACCAAACTTGTGATATTTTTGACTCATTTCTCTTTTTATGAGAGTTATGATAATTCAAAATATTGACATTTTTTGGAAGGTATCTGACGCACCACAGAAGTCGTAAGTTTGCTACACGTGAAAAAATTGTCGATATTTTTTGACGATAATATCCTTTTTCTAACTCGATTTTCTATCTAACTTATAGAAGTAATAAAATGTGCAAAATTTGGACCAAATCGAATCCTCTTTTGAGAGTTCTCGAAATATTCTGAAACGTATTTAGTCCGAATTGCGATGTATATTATGCCTGCATCTGGGGAGTATGCTCATATTGTGTAGTCAATATTAGGCGGCTTCGTTGCTGACCTTAGAAAAAATGTGACCTTATTCGTTCTGAAATTAAAGACAGCTCCGGGTTTTTTTACTCGGAATCAACGGTATCAGATGTTCTCTGGTATTAACTCTGTTCGACGTGTGGTTCGAAATAAGAAATTCCTGTAAAGGAGATAAGCTCGCAATGTGGAAGCGAAATTTGCACGAGACTAGCATATGTTGCGTTGAGTGGGCAGGAATCCTTCAACAACTTTTCTCTGCCATTTCATCCCATGACCCTTGTGTCATTTAAGACTCTTCACTGTTTCACTGGCCTCCATTTACTGTGCAACTCATTTTATTTATAGACTAGCAAAAGTGAATATCATTAACTTCGGCCCGAGAAGAATGATGGATAGCTGGCTGCCGGGCTGACTAAATGGATGGATGGATGCATATTTGATGGGTTGAGCAGTTTCATTTTCTTTTTTTCAACTCTTCCTTTTGGTTGCTCGTATTTTCCGCATTTTGTGTTTGTGGCCGCTTAATGTGGGTTTTTGTGTTAGTCGTACTAAATGGCTGACGTGGCAGTAAAACTGTTACAGTTTTTTTAAAGGGGTTAGACGGATGAAGGATGAGACGTTACAAAGGAATCTCTACTCTCGGAGAATGATGGATGTGTCTGCTTCTTCAGTTCATTGCATTTCGGTTGGAATTTCTCTTATTATCTTTTCTTTTTTTCCCCTTTTTTGTTTATTTGGCTTTTACTTCGCCTTTTATTTGTCATTTTGTTCGGGATTTAAAAATAAGAGAAGATGAGCGAGAATTTTTCCCCATATACATATCCATTCTTGTGTATTGTGTGTGTACTTGGTCTGATGGACGTTCATTTTCGTATTCGCCGAGGTAAAGCAGATATGTTGGTATATTCAAATGATTTGCATTTCCCCCTTCTTCGTTGGGATACTACAACAACACAAGGATTCTCCCTGGTGACACCGCTGGCAGAAGCTTCTGTTGCTGCCACTGTTCTTCAACGTCATCATTCTCATCTCATTTGTTTGACGTACTACTTTTGTTTCGTTCGTTACTAATTTGTTATTCTGTGAACTGGTGCACGGACGAACTTTGTTGATATGTTGATTTTGTGGGTGTGTTATCTTTTTTTTTTTTTTTTTTTTTGAATATTCTTTGACATTCTCCTGTGGATTTATTCAGAATCGCTTATTTTTCTCTTGACAATTTAATAAAAACTTGACATTTTTCGGGAGAACATAAATGATAAAGGACATTTATTTTGCCTTTATTCCTGTATACCAAATCTGACGTCCTTTTTTCAGCCAGTGACTGTTGGGGAAAACAGAGGCTGAACGACGACTAATGATGGCCACTTAAATCTGATTTCATACATCTACAGTTCAAGAGTATTTCTTGTGCATCATTTACTTTTTTTTTTGCTTATATCAT